GTAAATTTATGCTACTTAAATACTACTCCATTACAACTGGCTGATATAGTTACACCCAGTACCTGAACTGACCCCAAAAAATAACCTTAATTCTGCACAACCATAATTATTTATTTTATCCTTTTTAACAAAGACATTTTCAGTGCCGTTTTCTTAGTGTTAGCTTAGCTTATATGCAAATTGCTGCTGCATGGTACGGTAAAACATTTCACATTTGTATTTGATTATTTGAATGGATGTTGAGATATGATTCACAATTATTGCAAATCAGAATTTTTGCATCACTTTTTTAATTTTCACTGAGAAAAACTGTTAAAATCATGTTATTTTACTTGTGCAGCTTTCTTGTTATTTGCATATTGCATTTGGACATATTGTCATTTTGATGAACTGTGCAAATAGTATAATGTATAATAACATAAGTTTGCCTGCACATTGGGGAATTTTACTTTTATACTAACTCATTTTGCTGATCGTACTCTGGCATTTTAACTCAGTGAAATGCAGAATGCAGGACTTTTACATGTGACAGAGTATTTTTATTCTTACTAAAGGATTTGAATACTTTCCACCACAGTCCCCCCGCCCTCTAATGTAAAGTTAAGAGGTGTAATGCATTATGTAAGGGGATAACGGTTTCATCCTGCACCTGTTTTATAATAACTGAACTTGGACTGTAAGACTAAGACACACACACACACACACACACACACACACACACTCTGCTGTAGTCATGCAAACACACTCTCCAATACTATCCACTGAATGCCTTTAATCTGCAGCTCCAACCTTCACCCTTCCCCCAAATTTGACCCTAAATATAAACCTCTTCCTAATCAGGGATGGAAAGCTGTCCTCTCTGGGGGGGGGAGGACGCTGGTCCAGTATACGGTCCTGTGGGGGGGATCCAGGGACCCTATCAGCTGAAATTAAAACACACCTCCCCTCTCACACGCACTCACTGGAGACTTTAACCCAACTTGCATTGCGATGCACTTCGACCACAAGAACCTGCACAGCTAATGTTACTGATTCCTTTTCCTGCTTTCAATAGAAGGAAAACAAATACATCGAAGCACAAGAAATAGAGTCGGGAGAGAGAGATTAGTCCAGAAGGAGAGTTTGCACACTCACATATACCAGAATATTCTTTATGTTGTGTATGCATGTGTGTGTGTGTGTGTGTGTGTGTGTGAGAGAGAGAGACTGAAATACCTCAACAACTATTGGATGGATGCAAATGTAGGTCAGACATTAAAGTTTCCTTCAGGATGAATTAATATGTCCAATATTTTGGTTTGCAGTTTGCAAAGTACAATTTTAAAGTACTTAGTTACTTAACTTGAGTATTTCCGTTTTCTACTGTTCACTCTTTTTATCTGACGTTAGTTTGTTGTTATTTTGCAGATTCTGATAAATGATACAAAATATAACTGACAAGTAAAGCTGTAAGAACGAACCCTTGCAGTCTGCACGCGTCTGGTTTACTTCCTGTTTCCAGTAGGTGGCGCCATAACTGTGAGTGAATATAAGCATGTAGGTGTGTTCAGGGCGGGACTCTTATGAAACGTGTGAAGTTTGAGGCCAATTGGACAAAGTTTAGTCAAGAAACGGTGTTCAACGAACACTGAAGATTTTCATTGTGATTGTCTTTAGATCGCAATGACCAAATCTGAAGTCGATCCGATTAATTCCTGAGGAGAAATTCATTAATATTTGTGTATAAATCGCCACTGAATTCAAAATGGCAAACTTCCTGTTGGGTTTGGTGGATCGGTCCAAGAGGGTTTGTTGTACGTCTGGTTGCGATCTATGAGCCGACCAACTTTCATACATATCGGTGAAATGTGAAAATTTCATGTAAATCAGATGGTGATTGCCATACAAGGCTTACTTCTGGGTTTCATACGATTCATTGTGGTTCAAACTAATAATAATCCTATAGCAGTTTCAATTTGGTCCTAATAAATAATGATGTATTATAACAGGATAAAACTTAATTGATTCTTGGAAGAATTTACAAACTACTTGCAATTAATAAAGTCATTAAAATGAGCTTTAAAGTGATGAACACATTAATGCATCAATAATTATAATCCAATAACATCGTATTCTAAAATTAGTCCTTTTTTTAATACTTTTGTACTTTTACTTAAAAGGTCCAATGTGTAACATTTAGGAGTATAGATTATATAATATTAATAAATATGTCCTCTTCTATGGAGGCCACCACCAAACACTGGCTCTAGATACAGGTGTTCATATTTACTGTGAGTTTCGCCGCCAGTTTCTCCTACACGCTTAGAAAGGGAGAGTGAGGCAAGGGGTATTCTACAACTACTACAACTAACTACAGTTAGTCATGGAGTTATACAAGGTTCTGTACTTGGACCAATACTATTTACTTTATATATGCTCCCTTTAGGCAAAATTATTAGGAATCACTCCATTCACTTTCACTGTTATGCAGATGATACGCAGTTATATCTATCAATCAACCCCGATTAAATTAATCAATTATCTAAATTACAAACATGTCTTAAGGACATAAAATCCTGGATGAGCTGCAATTTTCTGATGTTAAACTCAGAAAAAAATGAAATTCTTGTTCTTGGCCCCAAAAATCTTAGAGACTCACTGTCTAAAGATATAGTTACTCTAGATGGCATTAACTTGGCCTCTAGCACCACTGTCAGGAATCTTGGAGTTATCTTTGATCAGGATTTCCCACATGAAGCAGACCTCTAGGACTGCCTTCTTTCATTTACGTAATATTACAAAAATTAGACACATCCTATCACAGACAGATGCAGAAAAACTAATCCATGCATTTGTTACTTCAAGGCTGGATTACTGCAACTCTTTATTATCAGGTTGCCCCAATAAGTCCATTAAAACGCTCCAATTAATTCAGAACGCTGCAGCACGAGTACTGACAGGAACTAGAAAAAGAGATCACATCTCTCCTGTACTAGCTTCTCTGCATTGACTCCCTGTAAAATGTAGAATAGAATTTAAAATCCTCCTCCTCACCTATAAAGCTCTTCATGGTCAGGCCCCTTCATATCTTAAAGAGCTCATAGTACCCTATTACCCCTCTAGAACACTACGTTCTCTGAATGCTGGGCTACTTGTGGTTCCTATAGTCTCTAAAAGTAGAACAGGAGCCAGAGCCTTCAGTTACCAAGCTCCTCTCCTGTGGAACCAGCTTCCAGTTGTGGTTCGGGAGGCAGACACCCTCTCCACATTCAAGAGTAGGCTTAAGACATTCCTCTTTGATAAAGCTTATAGTTAGGGCTGGATCAGGTGAGTCCTGATCCATCCCTTAGTTATGCTGCTATAGGCCTAGACTATCGGGGGATTTCCCATGGTGCACTGAGCTCCTCTCTTCCTCTCTCTTTCTGCACTCATTCATGTCCCATTAATGCATGTTACTAACTCCACTTCTTCCCCGGAGTTCTTGTGCTTTCTCGTCTCGCAGGTTCTTATCGATCCTGGTGGAGCCTCCTGCCATGGTCCTGATAGATTGCCATTGCCAATACTGTTGTTGCTGTGCACCTGTCTGTCTGTTTGTCTCTCTCTCTGTCTCTGTCTGTCTGTCTCTCTCTCTCTCTCACCCCAACTGGTCGTGACAGCAGTGTTGCCAACTTGGTGACTTTTTTGCCAAATCTGGCGACTTTCCAAATCCTCCTGGCAATTTTTTTGGTCAAAAGCGACTAGCGACAAATCTTGCAACTTTTTTGGTGTTATTGGAGACTTTTGTGGTGTTTGAAGACTCTGACGTGAAAGCACGTATCACTCTACAGTTACTGTGCTCAATGAGCAGCGGGTGCTGCCATGAGCCCCTCCCCCATCCAAAATCACTCACAGGTGGTCAGCCTCAGTAGCCTGTCCCAGCCTGCAGTCAGAGAGGAGACACACACAACTCCGTGTCCAGTCTGCAAATGAATCGCGCATGCGCATGGCCACCGTTCCCGCTCTGTGACAGGGTGTAAATGTTTCTTCACCCACTCTCACAAAAAATACATTACAAAATTTATTACATTTAGGGTTTTTTTAACTCACTTTTTGTCTCTCCCGTGACGTTATTCCTCTCTCCTACAGTGTCCATTAAATGCGGTTACAACAGGCAAATTGCCAGTTATGCAAATTAGGTGATGATGTCATTTAGCGACTTTTAGGACAGCCAATAGCTACTTTCCTTACTGAGGAGCTGGCAACACTGAGAGACAGACGACCACCCACCTAGAGCCGGAGGATCTGTCCTAGGTTTCTGCCTTTAACAGGCAGTTTTTCCTTGCCCTTGTCTCCAAGGTCTTGCTCATGGTGGTACTGTTGGGTCTCTGTAATTAATGTTTTAAAGAGTTCAGTCTAGACCTGCTCTATTTGAAAAGTGTCCTGAGATAACTTCTGTTATGAATTGGTGTTATACAAATAAAATTGAATTGAATTGAATTATTCAAACAGTAAGTAAAATGTTGACTTTTACTTGTAAAAGCCTGTAGTGTTACTTACATAAAGTATCTGAGTACTTCTTCCAGTATTACATTCAGCCTAAGCACTGCTAATGAGCAAATGTTAGCATGCTAACATGCTAAACTAAGATGGTGAACGTGGTGAACAGGATACCATCTGTGAGGCTGTACTACTGTGATTCAAGCTAAATGCTAAATTAATTGCAATGACAATGCTAACATTTAGAAGGCATAATATTTACCATGTTAACCATTTTAGTTTAGCGTGTTAGCATGCTAACACAAGCAGAATGTCCTTTACAACTTTAAATCTGAGGTTCATTACAGGTCGGATGATTTGACTACAAGTTACTACAGTTACGCTCATTTACATAGGCAACAACAGAGATTATTTCCAGATATTTGGTCATTTTAATGAATTTCCAGGTGATTCCATGACTGGAAAACTAGTCTGTAAATGTCCAGGTTTTCCAGGACGAGTGAACGTTGACAGACGCACAGAGAGAAGTGAGTGTGAGGCAGAGCTGTTGTTGTCCAGAGGTTTTATTTCAGTGTCTGTAGTGTGACAGCAGAGGGAGCTACAAGTCTGGAGGAAATCTGTCCCATTCAATCATTTCAGCCGAGTTTCCAATCAGTAGAGAAGCAAAGTAATCACTAATTTATCAATTCATCAATTCCATTTAACATCCATCCATTAAACTTCCTGTTTCTGATCGTAACATTTTATGTTTTTCACTTTTTCCCCATTCAAATCAACTTGAATTATCTCCTCTGCAATTTTTATTTAAATCAATTTAAACTAAATATTTTCCCCTCAGATTGTTTTTGCAGAGAATAAATATAATAAAGTTCATCAATAACATCGAGTATCAGAGCAACTGTTCAATAATGAGAAAAATGTATTAATGTTATGAGAAAAATAAGTCATGAAATCAGGATAATAAACGCATCGATGGAAGAAAAACAATAATATGAGATTAAGTTTTCATTTTAATTGACAAAAGTTGTAAAATTTTAAGATAAAGTTGGACTTTTAGTAGAAGAGTTAATTGTAACATGAAATAATTTAGTAATTTTACTCAGAAGTCAGAATAAAGTTTTAGAGTCATAATGTTATGAGGAAAAAGCCCTAATTAATATTCTAAGTCTCATTTAACTCTTATTTAATTTTACAACTTGTTTCTTGTAAAAAGTTTCAAAAAACATTATTCAAATATTCTTGAAATATTAAGAGTTTCTTGTAATTTTGTCTTTATTCTATCATATAACTTTAATAAAAATGACTTCTCTTGCAAAACTACAATTTAATTCTCTAAAAATAAGATTTTTATGAATTACAACTTATTAATATTAATAATAATAATAATAATAATAATAATAAGTATCATAATTCACTTTTTTCCAATAACATTTGTTTTTCTATTAAAATTCCAACATTATGTTGAAATATTATTTCTCTCATTAAATCACTTTTCTCAAAACTGTGATTTATGAGTTTTATCTCACAAAATTAAATCTGTATTCTGGAAATGACAAAACTTTTATACAATTACGAATCAATCTCATAATATTTCGGGAAAAAAAATGTTCTTGTACAATTATAACTCAAAACTATAAGAAATGAAAAATATTTGGATGTCATTCTGAAAAAAAATGTACCAGTTGCTCTACTACTCCATGGTTCAGACTTCACTTGCACGACGCCCACTACCGGCCCCACCCCCAGGCCTGTGCTCCAATCACATTGTTCACAGAAATAAGGACTTGTATCGATGTAAACAACCACTTCTGTACAAAAAACCCAAACAGAAACAACCCCAAGCTTTAGATAGAAAACAACAGAACAATCAAACTGAAGAGATTTAACTGTACAATTCATTAAGTCATAAATTCATCATCATTTCTTTCTCTTGCAATCGTCACTGTACACTTCTCGCTCACTTTTACAAATAAAAAACATCAAATCAAATATTTCTCCTTGAGTTAGCGTCACTCTCTCTCTCCGCTCATACATAAAATAGAGTCTCCGTTAGTATTTGCCTATTTACAGGGTTGCACTATGTACACATTTTTATTTTTTCAGTGTTTTCACACGGGCAACTCAGTAGACGGCCTCGACCCAAGAGGCCGCCTCCCTCCCGAAATTATGCATCCCAGCAGAATTAGACGCAGAAGCCACGATTGGTCCAAAACCCGGAAGGTTTGTTCAGTTCAGATTCGTCTTTGTTTAGGTTCAGATTTCGTTAAGTCTTCAGTTTCTGCTCAGAACTACACTGGGATCCATAATAAACCGCCCGACACCCAGGAAGTGGTCCTGAGAGAGCCACCGGCAGACTAGTGATGATGTCATCTTCACTGGGTTTCACACTTTGTACCCGACCAAAACCGCAATCGTCTCCACCTCGACAAGACCTTAATACAGAGAATCTGAACTCATGTTCTTGGGGGTTCAAACTTTGGTTCTCAGAGTTTTGAACTCGTGTTTGTGAGAGTTTGAATTTGAAATTGTGTCTATGTGAGTTCTGACTTTGAAGTTAAAACTCAAACTTGTGTTCTCAAGTTAGAACTTGAGGTTTTGGGGGTTTGAACTTGTGAATTTGAAAGTTTGAAATCTTCTCAGAGGTGACTAGAATGTTTTTGGTACTTTGAACTTTTGTTCTTGAGAATTCTGGGAAAGTTCTGGGAAACAAACATTTAGATATAAGGTCTATAAATTAGCCTATATTGGATATAAGGTCTTATCAAAGTGGAGAAGTTTTGTCCCGTCCAGAATAAATCCGCCTCAGTTCACATGATGTCGCTCAAAATCCGAAATGGAAAAATCTGAGTTCCTGTCGTGAGTTGAACTCCCATCCCCAGAGATCCTTTGTCGTTAAAACATTAAAGCGACTCTTACAGAACAATGAAACAATACAAGGCTCAAGATAAATGTCAGACTGCTTCTTTACAGCAGATAGCGTCATTAAATTACTACATTACTTAAATACTTCAAACCGTGAGCGTACGATAGCTGAACACTGGTTCTTTAAACTCTTAATAATATTAATTTGACCAGGTTGTAAAACAAAATATAAATAAAACTGATTTAATTAAAGTTGTTGGGTCTGAAACCTGGACTGGTTGGTGAACCGGTTCTGACGTGGAGGCGGACTTTGCTCTGGATGGGATCAGCCTCACTGAGCTTTTACAAACTGGATGTTATGGTACAGATGGAGAATGACAAAGTCTCACTGGCCACCAGAGCTGAGCACAGGTAACATTTTTCAAACCATTTACACATTTTCAGAAATCTTTTTTTACAAACACGTGAACGTCCTGATGCACTGAAGAGTTTCCTCCAACCGACGAAGGAAGACATCGACTGGACGTCTCGCTATGAAATCAAATATTCAACCTGCTGTAAAAGACTTCCAGACAAGGATCATTAAAAATATCCTGTAATTAATCTCAAAATGTTACAGCTTTATGTCATCGAATTATAACTTTATCTCTATGATTCTTTTTTAAATTACGTTACGAAGTACTGACTTTATCTCGTCATATTACAAATTATCTCATAAAATTCGGATTACTTTCTTTCTTTAACTGCTTTTTTCTCAAAACATTTTGGTGTTTTTTCTCGAAGTCTCTGGGTTTGTGAGCCAAGAGCGCAGGTAAGAAACTATATGTTCGTTTTTCACAACATCTGAAGAGTGAAACGCTTCAGTGCACCGAGAAAAAACCTTCAGTGGGAGTTCATTTTGTCTTGAGTCAAGTATTTTCATGATCTGTGACGAAAGCCCTGTTCGAGTCCCAAATTTATCTCACTGACGGTCACAAATTGCTTTTTAGAAACGGGTCCCTGTCTCGCGGGTTAGCTAGCACTTTGTTCATCATTAACTCTGATGGGACTCAGACAAAATGACTTCAGATGAAGGTTTTTACAGTGTACTCTGACTCAGACCAAAAGTAAAACCATGTTTCCGTGTGGACCAGCTGGACTCAGACCTGGTGGTGATCACAGCAGAAAAACAACAACTCTGTAGATTTCTATTATTATAGTAAATATGACTGAAGCGTGATCAGCTGTACAAACACAGAACCAATTGATCGCAACACAACTGGACTCAACTGAACCGAACTCTACTGAAAATCTAGAATAAAGAGTAAACAAAACCTCTCTGTGTCTCTGAGCCCTGAGGTTTGGCAAAAGTGCTTGTTGCTGCGATAAGTTGACCAACCGGCTTCGCTTCCCGCCGCTCGGTTATTGCCTCGGACCCCGACCCGCCAAATCCACGAGCCGACCAATGGCGGGGGCCGCTCCGTGGGGCTGATCGGGTCCTTCCTTTAAAGCCGGCTGGTCGTTCAGCAGGTAGATCCCAAACGCTGAGAAGAAAAAAGAAAAACTCCTGTCGACTCTCTCGTATGTTTGTATTTATCTCTCCGGTATGATGTCGTCCGGGTAACACAGCTGGCTGATTTCAACCACTTCACATCACTTTCTTAAAGCACCATACCTGTGTTTGCATGTTTTAGCCGGTTTACTCCAATTCCGCCCACCCGTCGATCTCCGAACAAAACAACCAGCTGTTCCCGTTTCCTTCTTCTATGATTAAGAAACAGTCAAACATTTATTTGTCCTAATTAATATCTACTCTTAAATACAAGATGTGTCGGTTGATGATAGAATAAATTAGCTGGTATTTGTTCTTTAATACAAACAGAATTATTCTTAATTCTTATTAAAGTCTCTTAAATTTGGTTGTGAAAGGTACTTTCTGGGAGTTTTTGGTGGAGCTATGAGTCCAGTAGTCTTATTTTGGTACTTTAAAGTAACATTTTATGCTAAAAATTTGATTTTTATTATTATTTGTCTGTTGCTTTTAAATTCAGACAATTTTCCACCTTTGTGGACAATTAAGTTGTACAACCCTTTTTTTTTTTTAGAGTTGTGACTTTTTATAGTGTACAAATAAACTTGTTTGAGCCCTCTGGTGGACAAACTGTGTAATGGCCCTAAACACAACATTTTTCTACAGATTCTTAATGTTATATATCAACTGATATTTAAATATCTGATAATATCAGTCTGACCTGCGCATTGACACCTGCAGCTCTCTGGGAGGAACTTAACCACACTGGAAATATAAAGAAAAACTGATGATACTTGATTTGTAGTAAAACTGGTTAAAACATACAAAAACACAGTATGGTCCTTTAAAGTGAACATGATTTGAATTCTGAAACAAAAAGCAGAAAAGACCCGAGAGTCTTCAGACTGAAACTGAGATCACGTTGGGTAGAAAACCAGCATCTACGCACTCTGATCCAGCAAGGAAACGTCCTCCGTCCACGTGTCCATGAACGCACCGTGACCGATGTCCCACATTGTCTCTATGTCCAGTGAACGCATCGTCACTGTTGGGTTCAGTCACTGTGTGAAATATGGCAGCTGATACAAACCACAGATCAGAGGTCAGCCTAACAGCCCTTAACCACTTCTGTAACCCACAATCAACCGTAAATGAGTTCAGTTACAGATCGACGTGGTCGAGTCCTATATATCTAAAAGAGTTTGCTATTTGATGGAAAAATATATTCAGTCTGGAAATACAGATGACAGATTTCTGCACGTGTAAACTCGTGTTGTGACGTCACAGCGTCACACGAAGTTCGTACGAAGATTCAGTGCGACTGAATTTATTTCGTATGTTTTTTCCTGCAGAGATTCAGAGTTGCACAACCTTCATCAGAGAAAAGATCCTGGAGAACAAAACCACTGCAGCACAGCGGGTATCCACAAGAGATACGTCAGTTCGTCTGTCAGTTCGTCTGTCGGTTTGTCTTTACGTCCGCAGGCGAGTTTAAAAGCTTCTCCGTCTGCACATTGTTGTTCAGAGACGTTAACGTGGTGGTTTCGGTTCTTCTACAGTTTCCGGGTTCATTTCCGGTGTTTCGTTTCAGGTCTGGCTCCCAAACAGGAAGTTGGATTGTTGATTTTTGAGTGTCTGCAACCCACAGTTACCCATTACACCCTTCTCTCTGTAGACCCGTACAGGCGCTTACGTCTGCGTCCTCCCAGAAACACCACATTGACCCAAATATATACGACGAACAAAGACTTCTTGAAACACTGAGAGACTGTTGGTCCTCCAATTTTCTGAACAAGTGGAAACTCTGGAAATTGAAAACAATACCTCAAATATTTCCTGTTTCTTTCTGTATTTTCTTGTTTTAGAGATTTGGTTCATATTTGCACTAACTTTGGATCAGAAACGTGATTCTTGGCTGATTGTCAGATTCAACTCGCTTCATAAACACTTTTAGTGCTGACGAACCCACAATGCAACACTGCAACACTTTCTCCGTTCAACAATATCTGATGTTATGTGAACGTTATGTAAAACAACACAAACGTAAAATCCCGGAAAACATTTGGTCTTATATTTGGGCCAATGGGCTAATTCTTGTTTCCCATGAAATGGCGGTTAAACGACTCTTATGAATGTTCCACCGAGGTCGTAGACATTTACGTCAATGATCCAGAAGACTTTAGGGATAAATTGCCGCCGTCAGGAGGTTAAATTTGAAAAACACGTCTCATAGCGAGTTCTTGGTCCCTCCGAGCGTCTCTGTGAGTCGGTGGTTGTCGGGCTGCTGGCAGTGTTCAGACTGCTGCTGATGGAGGGATGAGGGAGCAGGAGGAGGAGGTGGAGGAAAAGAGGAAGAAGAAGCAAATGAGAACTCAGTCAAAGTGGAGGGTGAAGGAGGAGAAGAAGGTAGATGAGGAGGAGGAGGAGGAAGTTTCTGGTTCCAGTGTGAGACTCCTTCCTTATCTCCCTCTCACCAATCCATTTCCTCCTTTACTTTATTAAAGCGTCTTCCTCCTCCTCCTCCTCCTCTTCCTCCTCTTCTCTCCATCCAATCTCCTCTTCTTCATTTCCAGTCTCTTTCAGTCTCTTTTTGTCCCTCCTGTCCGTCCCTTTATGTGTCTTTGGGCTCCAGTTTACAGGACATGTCGAACAGCAGGTTCTGGTTGTCGATCACCTGTAACTGTCGGACGTAGGCCTTCGTCTGCAGGTGGGAGGGGGACGTCTCCGTATCCATGGCTACCAGGTGGACAAAGGAAGAGACAGAAAACACACGGTTGTTAGAGATATCATCAGTTACAGCACACAGAGCTGCAGTGACACACTGACGCCACCAGATGGAGACAAAGGCAGCCACTTCCTTCACAAGAAAAGCATTTTATTTGTAAATGCAGAACAGATTCCCAAGTTGATTTCTGACATTAAGACAATTAGTTTTAAGTTTTGAGTGATTAAATATACAAATGAGTTATTATTTAATTATTATCTAATTAAAAATCTGCTAATTTTTATACATTTACGGAACAGGAATCTGAACGTTGGATAAAGTCAGGTTCAAAATTCTTGTTTCTTTTTGTTGACATGTTAGAGTCAAAGGTTTTTATAGAAGGAACCTAATTTTATCGCTCCATAAATCAATAAAAAAATCTAATTTCACCATGTTTTTAGTAATAAAATGTGCTATAAATCAGGCTGTGAATGATATATGAACAAAGCCCTCAGTACAAACCTTCAGAATAGGAATAAAACTGGAAGGTTTGATGGATGTAAAAGCTGCTGAAGTTGAGATTTCTGGCCTTTAAAAATCTGAAGGTGAACTGGGTCCAATTTTAACAGATATCAGTATGAAACTTCCCCAAGTGATTTCTGACATTAAAACACATTTCTTTTGTATTACAAGTTTTGTGAAATTGAATGTTTAAATATGTAAATGAGGTATTATCTGATGATGATCTGAACTTTTGGGGAAATCTTCAGACGCAAACAGACAAGTTAAAATAAAATTAACACTAAATGTGAATTTTTGGGCTTTTTCTTTGAAAAACGACACATTTTTGTCTGTCGTGTCCGTTTAGGTACATTTTCCTGTTTATACCTTTACAGAGTATTTTCACAGTGTGATATTAGTATCACATTAAAACACAGTGTGTGTGTGTGTGTGTGTGTGTGTGTGTGTGTGTGTGTGTGTGTGTGTGTGTGTGTGTTACCTAGCTGGCTGCTCCTGTATCGTCTGATGATCCTCACCATCTCAGCCACTTTATGCTGCAGGAAGAAGAAGAACATGTATCAGTTGGTTGGAGTAAAGTTGTGACAGATGTTCAATATTTAAATTAAAATCTGTCACTCAGTGGAATTATATAGCTATATATAATAATAATAATAATAACAACAATAATAGTAGTAATAATAACAATAATATATATAACAATAATAATAATAATAATAATAATAATACAATATATAATAATATATAATAATAATAATAATAATAATAATACAATATATAATAATATATTATAATAATAATAATAATAATAATAATAATAATAATAATAAATATATCTGAAACAACTCGAAGTGGAAACATTAGTATCAGGACACAATCGACTCACCATTTTCTCGAAGTTGACGAGTTCACCGTGAAACGTTTTACAGCTCTCGTGAAGAAATGTTAAGTCTGACAAACAGGAAACACAGCAGATCAATAATCAATCAGTTAATCAGATTATTGAGAGGGAAGCTTCATCAGTCTGCTGACCAACGTTTGTCCTTAATTCTAACATTTAATGAGGATTATGTTAAATTGGGAATCTGGTGCTATGTGAGAAAACTACATTAGCAAGAACTTTTGCACAAGTGATATTATCAGTTATCTTTTCAACAAACAGATTATTGATTATTGGCACTGTAATTGAATGTTGGTGTAGTTCTCCCTTCCACCACAGGGGGCAGCAGAGACAGATATTCTACATCAGCTTTAAATCACTGTTTTCTCTTTTTAACCACCTGACTCACTTCCCTCTCCTTTGGGTTGTGTTACCATGGAGACAGAGAGCTTAAGGCTGCGCACACACACACACGCACACACACACGCACGCACGCACGCACGCACGCACGCACGCACACACACACACACACACGTACAGTGTGTACAGTAATCTCATTTAAAGTCTTTTCTGAGTGTGAACACCTGCTGGGAGCAGTTGAAGACGAGATGAAAAGAAAAACTGGAGCGAAGAGGAAAACGGATGATGAAGAGGAGGAGAGTCTTTGAAGTGACTCTGTGTGTGTGTGTGTGTGTGTGTGTGTGTGTGTGTGGCAGGTGAACAGTAACATGGAGCTGATTAGCCAGGAGTGCTAATTAGTGAAGTGGAGCTAACACGCTAACACTGCTGGTCCACAGCTGGAGGGAAACAGAGTCCCAGAGGATGAAGAACCAGAACCAGCAGATCTGGACTGGTTCTGTGTGGATGATATTGATCCTGTATTGACAGTCAGACTGTGGACATATGACGGCCTTTAGCTCGTGTTTCTAGAGTTACGTGTTGTTACGAACACGTTAGGAATTGTTAAAATGTGATATTTCTTAAAGGGAGTTTGGTGCAGGGAGCTTTTAGTTGGATTCAAACTGCTGATATGGATCATTGTTAACGTTTAGTCTCCACTACAGAAACACTAGCTGACTGCTGAAGGCTGATCAGGTTGATTGATGCTTTAATAATGAGAGTATTGATTATTGATTATAGTTGTGTAGCGTGAACAAGGCTTTAGCATCTGCTGTTAGCATTTAGCTCAGTCTCACCTTTGAGTAGCAGAGGTGTGAAGGGGATCAGTGGAGGTCTCAGGCTGGTGATCAGGTCTCTGTAGGACTTGTGGTTCCTGGACGGGTCCTTTAAGACAAACACATATCAATATTAATTATTGATTACTGACACGCTGCTGCTGTAATTTGACCTCTGACCTCTGAACGTCTCACTCAATGATGATCAGATCAGAGTTACTCACCGCGACGCTCTCAAACTGCTGAAACTGCTTCCTGAACTTCCCCGGGAGCCCCTGAACACACACACACACACACACACACACACACACACACACACACACACACACACACACACACACACACACACACACACACACACACACACTGTATTGATCAGTGGGTCTGTGCTGATCTGCAGACGTCTAATGTGGATATTTGGTGTCGTTCTGTAGTGAAACACTTTCTAAAATTAGGGTAAAAAGTTGTTTAATAACTAATAACAGTTCAATAATGTGAGCAAACACTTTATTGATTACTTATAATAAACACAACTCGCTTCCATTACAGTCAGTAGCTGATCTTTATGATCAATACAACAACATTTGATATTCAGGAATATTTGGCCTGTTTCTAGAAGAATACTACGATACCAAGATCTGGTTTAAAGACATTTTGGACACTTTTATGATATTGTTGGTGATCACGTTGAAGAAGAATCAATGCATTATTTATCAATATTAATTATTATTTATTGTTGGCTGTTGAGTGTTCAATGTGTGTACGACTGATGGATGCTGCAGGTAAGGTGATGTGGAGCAGCGTCAGGTGGGTGTCGTACCTCCCAGGTGAGTCGTAGTCTGTTGACGGCGGGGTTGTCTAAACCCAGAACCACAGCGAGGAAGGACAGCAGGTCCTGCTGCTGCTTACAGCTGAAACAGAGACACAAAAGCCCGTTAGGACCCGAACTCTCTCATTCAGACTGCTAACGAAGCCCGGGTAGAGTGAGTGGGTCACGGGATCCGATCCGGACTCACAGCGCTGCGATCTTGATGAACTTGCGGAGCAGCTGGACCCTCTTTGGCAGCGACTGACACTGCAGGATCTCTGTGGCGACCCAGTGCTGCACCTCACTGCAGCGCTGCAGTACCAGCTCCAGGTTCAGGGGGCGCCAGCGGGACTGTTCCCCGTGAAACACATAGCACACGAACTCCACCTGCAGGACACACCAACGAAGAAGAACAGAGCAAAGAACACCAGGAATTAATCAGGACAAAGAATTAGTTTTTACTCACTAATTATCTTCAGTCTAACAATCAATAGACGATCATAAAGTCCTGATTCATGTTCTTCCTTCAGAATAAAAGCATTTGAGTCTCTGAGGGTTTGATGTGAATGACTCAGCACTTTGGGGTCACTGACGGGGTCACTGACGGGGTCACTTTGGGGTCACTGACCTCGTGCACACAGCTGAACAGCTCCCAGTCAAACACCACCAGCTGATTGGCGACCTCCTCCGCCGACATGTCGTGGAGTTTGCTGTCTCCCGGCGTCCAGTGGATCTCCTCAGGAAGAGGAAGCTGAGCGAGCGGGAAGTGACATCACATTACAAAAATACCGACACCAACAAAGAAGTTTTCAGACCTACTGTCAATCAATCAATCAATCAATCAATCGATCAGTTCCTCACCAGGGACTCGAGCTCGGTGGGTTCACAAGCAAACAGGTGAGTGTTGACTCCCAGCGTGGTGAACACGGCTTCATCAGAGGGACGAAACACGGCCTTCTCTAAACACACACATTATATATATTCTATATATTATACATCACATTATATATATTACATATATTATATATCACATTATATATATTCTATATATTATATATCACATTATATATATTCTATATATTATACATCACATTATATATATTGTATTATATTATATATATTATATATCACATTATATATATTGTATATCACATTATATATATTATGTATTATATTAACAGTTTATAAACACTGTATATTATATATATTGCATGTTATTATTATTATTATTATAATTATTATAATAAGTTATCAGCTGACCTCCGGCCGATGTCACCGCCACCAGGATCAGGTTTCCGGGCAGAACCGGTTGGTCTTCGCTGTACTGGAGTTTCTCTCTGACCAGAGCCAGAATCTCTCCGACCCGACAGGACAGACGACTCCTGATGGTGACGTAGGAATGATCCGGAGTGTAGACCCTGCAGAAGACTGCACACACACACACACACACACACACACACACACATATTACAGAGATATTGACCTTCTGGATCTCAGTTTCATCTCCAATACAAAGATAAGTCCAGTTTAGCGTAGCTTAGCACAAAGACTGGACTCTGGTTCTGTTAGCCTACAGTTAGCTTTATGGTTCTGTTAGCCTACAGTTAGCTTTATGGTTCTGTTAGCCTACAGTTAGCTTTATGGTTCTGTTAGCCTACAGTTAGCTTTAGGAGGAACTGATGACTAGCTCTCCGGCTAACGAGATGCAACATGTAATCAGTTTGTTTCTTTTGATGAAGCTACGCTAACAGTTTCCCTTTGCTCCCAGTCTTTGTGCTAAGCTAAGTTAAACACACGTGCTGGTTGTGATGCTCTTTGATGAGAACAGTGTGTGCTGGGTGTGTCCAGACCACAGACTGCAGGTGTGTTTACAGGTAATACAGTGTGTGTGTGTGTGTGTGTGTGTGTCAGTGAGGTTCAGAATGCCGTACTCTCGTCGGAGCCCCTGAAGGCCTCTCTGGGCTGCAGACAGGCATCGATGCGTCTGAAGTGTCTGAACAGAGGACGGACCTGCTTCTTCCTGCTCTCCTTCTCCTCTTCAGAGCTGAACACACAGAATCAGGACACATTCATCAATATGTGTGTGTGTGTGTGTGTGTGTGTGTGTGTGTGTGTGTGTACAGTGTGTACAGTGTGTGTGTGTGTGTGTGTGTGTGTGTCTTACGGGCAGTGTAAGATCTCGGTCCATCTCTGCAGTTTGAGGACGTCTTCCACCAGCTCAGGACACCGACTCAACTCCCGAACCGCACACAGATACAGCTCCTACACACACACACACACACACACACACACACACAACACACACACACAAAAAATAAAACTTTTATTCACACAAACACCAGAATGTGCTGAGATGAGTCAGTCACGTTGCCGTGACAACCAGGAGCCAAAAAAAAAAAAAACTGTTCCCACCCTGCTGAGGTATTATAATTTTTTGTGTGTGTGTGTGTATTATGTGTGTGTGTAATAATATATAATATGTGTGTGTGTGTGTGTGTGTGTGTGTGTGTGTGTGTGTGTATAATATGTGTGTGTGTGTGTGTGTGATAATGTGTGTGTGTGTGTGTGTATTATGTGTGTGTGTAAT